TAGATTGATTAAATACTGTCTCTTATACACATCTAGATGTGTATAAGAGACAGGATTAAATGTGATGCGATATTTAACTCGATTAAATATGATGCAATATTTTGTACGATTAAGTATGATAAAAAATTTAGTTCATTTAAATATGATATAATATTTAGATTGATTAAATACTGTCTCTTATACACATCTAGATGTGTATAAGAGACAGTATTTAATCAATCTAAATATTATATCATATTTATTCAATATAAATATTATATCATATTTAATCAATCTAAATATTGTACGATATTTAATCAATCTAAATATTGTACGATATTTAATCAATCTAAATATTGTACGATATTAAACTAAACTAGCTATTATATCATATTTAATCGGGCATAATGTTTAAATTATAAAATTAAAGAAAGAACGCAACGTACTTGCAAGTATGCAAAAAGTGCAAAAGGAACATTTTTGGCATCCTTCAATTATGAAACACATTTCCGTCCAAATCAAATGTATTTAATCCACTTGAATCAAGCTATGCGTTTGCATAAACATCCTCGGTTTAACGGCGGTGCAACGCAATACGAAAATCGCACTACATACTCATAAAACGACGTACCTGCTTCGAGAGCACATGTTTACTAAAGTTGCAACCATGCAGAGAAGATTAGTGACAATTAGACCGCGGATTTTGTGAATTGATGATAACAATATATGCGTAAAACATAGAATAGTGAACAAATGAAACGAAATTAAAGCGTTGACATGGTAAGAACAACTTATTAAAATTACTTAAAATCCGCAATCTAGCGATTGCGATCTGATATGCATATTGTCACCATTCGATTCAAAAGTATGCGACCTGAAAAATATCCTAGACACGAGCCATTCAAAATTATGCAACACGCTGCACCGGAGGGCACAACGTCAACTGCAGTAATTCACTTCCACTTTTTAAACCAACGAATCTGCGAGTCGCTAACCCGTCCGCGATCCACGGTGAAGCAATCGGGCACTATCGATTATGGTGCAACTCGCGAATATTTAAAAGCAAGTTTCGCCGTAGCCACTCGCGCGGTCTTCTCTTTTTTCGCTCGCGAAGACCGCCTCGAATAAGTTGGACGCGGGACCTTTCGTTTAACGAGGGGACGTTTTTTCGTTTCCGTTCGCATGATCGCGACAGCCACGGCGAAAATAACTGGTACAGGCACTGGAAAGAATTCTCCAATATTTGTATTATTAACGTTGAGACTCTGATAATTAGGCTGCGGATGTTCGCAGATGAACGATATCGATTGTACGATAAATGTGGGAAATGCATACGAAATTTGTGCACGAAAAATACGCGAAATATGCATGATATTATGCATCGAATTACGGTATATTGAAAGTATTTTTCTTCTAAATTTGATGATGGTTTTGTTGATGGTGTTTGTCAGTAAAAATTAATTTGTACGAAAATTAAATTATATTTACTGGAGCAGTGTTGTTGCACATGCATCGGACTAATTGTGATGTTCGATCGCACTTTACACTTTTATCGTGTGTTCAACAATAAATACTTTCTTCGTTATTTCCGTCGATGATAAAATTTGGGCCGCCTTCGGATCCAGCTGCGTGGAAACGCGCACGCTTAAAATTCACCTTGTCACTTCAATGACGTAACCGAACTGTTCGAATTCGAAATACTAATAGCGACTCCTAATGTTCACTTAATAATACATAATAATTAATATATTGATAATATAATCATAATATATCATATATATATATATATATATATATATAAACAATATAATTATAATAACATATATTAATAATATAATTATAATAACATATATAAACAATATAACTATAATAACATGTATTAATATAATTACAATAACATATATTAATAATATACTTATAATAACATATATTAATAACGCAATTATAATAGTATATATTCTTGCATATGCATTTAAACATAAATACGCAAAACATACGCAAAATATGTGAAATAAAAAATATATTTTTGGAATCATGGGCCTACCTATCTTCTAAAAACAATATGCGTTTGCATGAACATCCGCAGTTTGTTAATAACTGCAAAAGGTACTCCATAGTTTTCGACGTCTTATCGTCTAACAATTTGATTGTTCGTGCAGTAAAATAAATATACAAGCATGGACTTAGGCTATTTATTATTCTAGTAACAAGTACGGAAGAGAGAGGCAATAAATAATACTATAAAGACACTTAGGGCGATTCTTGATCCGAGGTACCCTCCATATAAATTACGATCATCGTGCGACGTATAACAATTAACTATTATACATTCAACGTAAAATCGCGCGTCGGTTTGGCCGCGATTATTTTTACGTTAGGCGCGGAGTTACATTCTGGCTTTATGGGACATCATAACGATTTTTATACAATGAAAATTTGTGCACAATTGAGCAATCCAATTGGACAATTTAAATAGATTTAATTACTCTGCGATATTGTGGTGCACTTTATCGGACGTCATTTTCATAGAAAAATTGGTCGGTTTTTAAATTGTTCTAAATCATCCATCAAACCGGTTATTAATACTCGAACAACGATACTCGGATCTGCTTTGTCCCTGATTATAAATATTGTTCTCTGAATATTGTTTTGACAATTAATTGAAATTTTCACATGTTTCATTAAGTTCTTCGAACTAATGCGTACAAACGTTGTAAAAATTGATGAATAAAATTATAAAAAATTCTAAGTATATCCAAAGGTCGAATTTATATGTAAAACTTGTCTGAGTTTTTGAAATTAATTGTAAAATTTATGCAATGGTAGATTTATTATTAAAATTTATGCAGTGACCCCTTTCATTTTAGCTATTGTTTATGTCGTTATAATTGCGATGTAACATTAAACTGTGCACTTTTGTTCAATTATGTTCGCCATTCGAGTGTTATAAATTGCTGTTTTTAAATGTATTCTATTCAGTTTGAAAACGACGTTCGATAAAGGGCACCTACTTAACGAACATGGACACATAGAAAAGCGTGCAACCACACGATAATTAAAAACCACTTTTGCTAAACCGCTTGGATTACTCGTTCGTGTTATGCAGAATGAGCCGCGCAATACAACAACTTCAAATAACTCATAAATCACGCCGTACTTAAATTTTTCACTATAATAAATTTTACCTAATTCTGCACTTTCAAGCACATCTTGCGCTTTAGCTGATACATTTAAGGAATTAACATAGTAATATTCAATGAACTCTCCTGAACGTATAATTAATTTATTACAATATGATTTTGTATTTATCATAATATACCGTAGTTTATGATACAATTCAATTTTGCATAGAACATACAAATACTACAAATATACAAAAATACTACAAAAATTTAAATAGTGATCAATGTGAAAAGGACACCAAAAGCTGAACGTTCGATGAGTTTCAAAAGATAATTAAAATAAAGATTGTTTATTTATGTTTATTTATTTAGTTGATTCTATTGTGTAAAACAATACTGCATTTGTTGGAATGCTCTTTGGTTACGACAATTTTGACCGGTGATGTGACGGTGTGTCATCGAGATTTAATGCTGCCTTATGGCAGCGGCTAATAATAAGGACGTGCTAAAACTGTTACTGCACATGAAACACGAGCGGTATGGTCGTGAAACTGGATCCGATGATAGATAAGGCTACCGCTTGCACTTTTCAATCACAGAAATAACTGCGGCATTGCTGGTCGCAAGGCTCAAAAGTTCATTGGAGAAAATTTTCGTTCGATCTCAGTAATATATATATTATATATAATTATATATATATATTATATAATATATATATTAACATACATATTTATATATTTATATATATTTACATATATTTCTCGTATATTATAGTTTTCAAGAACTAGTCCTAGTTTTTGCAATTGTTACTGTTCTAACACAAACTATCTGCGCAGATGTTCTTTTTTCATTAATAATTATGTACCCACAATTGTGTATTTACAATATAATATTAAATTGCATTTAGAGTTCACAAAATAGCGTGACATAGAAAACGCATAAATATTGCTGACAAAGCAAAAAGTACGTTCAAAGTTAAAATAGAATTGAGGACACTTTACGGATTTATATTCAGTAATTATATAATAAAAACGTCAATTTAAAGTTAAAAATTGGAGGAAAGTTAATTGTTATTTGTTGTTATTTGTCATGTAAAAAAATATATCGAGCAGAAGTTGTACGATTTTTAGGGCAACATATATTATTGTATTAAATTTGTTACTGTATAAAGTACAGCTCAAAATTAATAATTATAGAGTTACCAGAAGTGTAATCAATTAAAATTGTTATTACTTCAAAGATTTCGTCAAGAAGTTATACACATTGCGACAAACCTAAATACCATTGTTATATTTAATAACAAATGCCAGTAGAATGTATTTGAAAAATTATTTAAGCAGAAATTTACTCAAATAGAAAATTTAGGTACTTAATTTAATAGCAACTAATATACAAAGCTGCTTTAAAACAACCAAATAAGATAGCACGTTATCGATGCAATTTATCTGGAATTGTTTAAACAATGCTCAAGCCTGCTAAAATCCCAAACCTCGTTTCGAAACATTCTTTAGACAATTGACACTTTTCAGGCTGTGCGGTTCCGTAAAAAACCTTCATGGGGTGCCTTCGTTTTTTCCTAGATTAAACTGATATTTTACAAAGAAACAAAATTATAATTAAATTATAGTTTGTAAATCAGCAGTCAATTGTCAAGTAAACTTCACAAAATATTTAAATTCGAATGCAGAAAGTATTCGTAAAATTAAATAAAAATGCATGTACGTGACAGAAGATTAAAGAAATCAAGTGTCTTCAGTGTATTCAGGAAAAATCGCTACGCAAGGAGTGGGGCGGCGACTCGTGCGCAGGGAGTCCCGCACAGCGGCGCGGCGTGGGTTCTACCGGGTGAACATTATAATTCTGAACTACGATCGCGACGCGACGCGACGTAGATACAATACGATACAATAGCTGCCACCTTGTGGACGCGCCACGCCGCTGTGCGGGTCTACCGCGTATGCGTCCTCTGCCCCCACTCCTTGCGTAGCGATTTTTCCCGAGCACACTGCGCGCGATACACGCATTGTACCAGCGGCCGTTAACATTAGTTTGTGCCGTGGCAGAACTGTCGTACCAGCGACCGATAAAGTGTCAATGAAAAATTTGAAGTCATCGTACTCGAAAGCTCACCCTATACAAACCTTAGCGCCTAAAGCACCTAAAACGCCCCGTTCCCCTAACAAAGATCATATCAAAATCCACTATCAGTCGCATTATCTCTCTTTCTTCTCGTCATCCACTGTCTCTTAACCATATCCGCGCCCTTCTCCCCGATCATGATCACCGGGGCATTGATGTTCCCATTGGTAATTGTGGGCATGATCGACGCGTCGATCACCCTCAACCCAGTCACCCCGTAGACCCTCAGCTCGGGATCCACGACCGCCATAGGGTCGGAAGCCGGCCCCATCTTCGCTGTGCAGCTCATGTGGTAGATCGTCATGGTGTACTGTCTGATCGCGCACTCCCAATATTCGTCGGTGAACAGAGGCAAGTGCTTGCAGTTGGGCACAGGTTTACTATGGAACCTGGCGCCGAACCTCTTCATGCTCTTCGTCTCCCCGAAAGCTACGGAAGCCTTGGCGCCTTCCCTGAGCACCTTGACATCGTCAGGATGAGTCAAGTAGTTAGGGTATATGAGCGGATGGTCCAGCGGGTTCTTCGACTTCAGCTTGATGTATCCTCGGGATTTTGGCCTCAGGATCATAGGGAACACCCCGAAGACGTCTCTTTCGTTGATCTTCCCAAATACATCGTTGTAAAACTCGTCGGTCAAGCCATGGGCGTTCTTTACTTGGGTCCCACCGTCGGAGTTCGTCGAGGACGCCGTCAGCATAAGGGATATGTCTGGCCAGTCGTCGCTCTGGTTAGCGTACTTGGTGGAGATGAACCCGACGGCCTCCAGACCCACGTTCGAGGTCAGTGGCCCGTCCTGGTTGATGACGTACCGAATCACGGAGTTCACGTTCACCAATCGGCTCATCACGATGCTGATCTGGTAATCGATCAGGAAGGCAAGGCCGCCCATGGCGATGTGGTCCTGCAGGTTCTGACCAACTCCCGGCGAGTCTTGGATCACGGGGATCCCTATCTCCTCCAGATGAGCCCGGGGCCCCACTCCGGACAGCATCAACAGCTGGGGAGTGTTCACCGCGCCGCCGGAGACGATCACCTCTTTCCTGGCGTAGGCCACCTCTTTGCGACCCTCGCGAATGAACTCGACGCCGTAGGCACGTTTGGTGCGGGGATCTATCAGGATCTTGGTGACGTGGCTGAACAGAGACAAGTGGAAGTTCTTGCGGTGCTGGATTGGCCGGATAAAGGCTTTCGCTGTGCTGCACCTGGAGGCTCGTCGCATCGTGAACTGATAGAAGCCGAACCCTGTTTGTTTCTCGCCATTCACGTCCAGTATGTCGTAGCCCATCTCTTCGCCGGCTTGGACGAACGCTACGCCCAGAGGGGTGTTGAAAGGTGCGTCCTGGACCGTTAGGTAGCCACCTGGAAGAGAATCGAAGAGGTTGTCAGCTGGCGGGATCTGAATTGTAGGTGAACAATGATCAATGTTGACTCTCTCGGTGCTGAGTTGCTAACTTTTAGAGGATATCTAAGAGGGAGACTGCAAAGGTCTCCGGGTGAGCGGCTAGTATAGTCCACATAGGACCCAGGCATAGCCCATCTTAAGACTCATAACGACTACACTAAATGCAAAGGTCTCCGGGTGTCACAAATTTTGTGGAGGTTGTCTACACTTTTAGACGTCGTTCCTAATGCTTTTTAATTGATCCTGAGCTTGGAAGCTAAAATGGACAATTTGGGAGGGGGAGATACGATTATTTATGCATTGCGGCTTGTTTTTATAGTTACCACTTGTCAACAACTATAGAAACAAGCCGCAAGGCTCGAATAATCGTATCTCCTCACCCTAAATTGTTCATTTTTGCGTACAGGCTGAGGGTCAATTAAGGAGAATTTACTATAGTTTCGTTATTGATTTGGCAATTCTGTTAATGACGAAAGAGTGGGGGTAAAGAAAGGAGACGTTTTTGTCTAAAGACCTATAGAGGAGTCGTCAGCGAAGCTATTTGTAAAGATCCACTAATAAGAGGCAAGCAATAACGACCGCGCTTATTTAAATTATTTAATTTTAATAATTTACATTTAATTATTAATTTAATTATTAATTTTATAACAGGATATCTAACCCTAATCTTTTGTAAAATAATAAATATACATAAATATTAAATATTAAAAATTTATGTATTATATGCTCCACCATAATAATATAATTACATTTAATAAATCACATATCAAAATTTTTTAAATTATAATAATTAATTTATAGTAATATTTTAACCGCTGGTGCTAACACTGTTTAATTTAAATATCTAAGTGAAACCTTCATTTAATTATTAACACGTTGATTGTGCCACGCCGGTTTTACAGAAATTGCCCGCGGCGCCACGATGAATTTTCTTTTATGTGATACATATAATGTTGAAATATTATCTGCAATAAATAAGTTACAGTGTATAACCATGTTTGACATGTTAATTGCGACGGGGGTCACTGTTTGAATTGACGATGATAATAATACAAAATTTTAGATATTGACATTTGTTTTAAATTATATATATTTCTATAAATTTAGGCGCGCCGGTCACCGGTGGCCCCCATGGCGTCACCGCCAAGTTAAGTGCCGATCACCGGTGACCCTCGTAGCATTCAATGACTAACTTTTGTATTATTAAATTCAAATTTTTTAAACTCAGAAATTATTATAAGTATTACTTATAAGGTCAACAGAGGTCATATAAATGAAGGTTTCTTTGAATGTAAGTCTGTAAGCGAGTCTCTAAAATAGCCATCATATAAAAATCAACGAAATATAGCACTTAAAAAATAATGGTTAGTATTTAACCCTTTCGCTACTACGGGTGACTATAGTCACCCGCCACAAAACGACACCCGCATACGATGGGTGACTATAGTCACTTGCCACAAGATGCCACCTATACACGACGGGTNCGCCACAAAACGACACCCGCATACGATGGGTGACTATAGTCACTTGCCACAAGATGCCACCTATACACGACGGGTGACTATAGTCACCGGTCACAACAATGGAGCCAAAAGTTAAAACAAGGGCTATCGCCTCGCTTTCCTCTGTTCGCAGACGCTATCATCTACCAAAAACTACGATCAATTGTAATAAATCTGGTCATATTAACCCCTTGCCATACTTTGACGAGTTCGATTCGTCATGAAAATTTCTAGTAATAATTTATCGAGTATAGCTGTTATTCTGTCCTTTAAAATTGCAATAAATTTCTAATCTCTTGTTATCAATGTTTAAGCATTCAAGTGAATTTAGGCATACAATAAGCAGCAATTTTCTTTCGCTTCTAAGAAATTATTGCAATCGAAAAATTTCTAATCGCAGTAACTGCGAAGAAAATGGTATGTCAAGGGGTTAATCCAACGTTTTTGAAGCAAAAGACTTGGCCCCGAATGCTGAAGACTGCGCGCGCTTAATGTTCCTGCTTTCGGCAGGGTGCTCCGTTCTACACGAGGGACTCCGCGGCGAGGCCCGCCGTAGCGAAAGGGTTAAAAAAGTAACATCGTTCACCTTCATGTTATGTTAAATTTTTTGCAACAAAATAAAATTATTAATTTTGTAAAATGAAACTAATTATATTGAAGCATACTATTATTCTGTATTTACAAGGGATGGTCCCCAGGATTAACGCTCATTTTTTGATAAGATTTTTGATACTGTGATAGAGCTTGTAAAGCTGAATCCAATGATACCCGGTTTTGAGAAAATTAATGTTAAAGTTGCTAATAAAAGGCCAGAAAGACGCACTGGATTACGCAGCGAAGTACCGCGTGGTAGGAAGTGGGGGTTGCCCCGAGCAGCAGGAAGTGGGAGTTGTCTCGCATGTCGCGATAAGGCGGGCAAATCTCATCAAAAAGTGAGCGTCAACCCTGAGGACCTTCCCTTGTTAGACCTTAAGATAAACTGTAATTGCTACTCTGAAAATAATCGGTTCTCGTTTGTCTTTTTATTGGGTCGGGGAATAAGTTCGTAGCGTTTTCTATATTTTCTTTTATTTTACAACGATTTTTTGCTGTTTGACAAAGTGTATAATGTTCATTCGATAGAGCTCTTTCCGCTCTACAAAACTGTGCTAGTCGTCTTTTTGAGTAATTTAATTTTTTATTACTTTTGAGGCTTAGAAATGGAATATCCAGGAGGTAAAAAGCAACGTTTTCGACACTTTCTCTTCTTCACTTCTCATCGAGGCCAAAAGCTGCTGAAGCAGCCCGGGACATTTGCAACGTATACGGAGAAGGTGTCATAGGCGAGTCCGCAGCACGGAAATGGTTTGCGAAGTGCAAAAATAGCGATTTTGACGTCGACGACCCGCCCCGCAGCGAAAGACCTTCTGAATTCGACGAAGAGCGTCTCAAAGCACTTTTGAAGGAGGACGGTCACCAAACAAGTCGTGAATTGGTCGAAAAAAATGAACGGCGATCATAAAACGATTCTCAATCATCTTCATTCAATAGGATTTGCCGAAAAATTGGGAGCCTGGGTTAAATCCGAATTCAGAAGGTCTTTCGCTGCGGGGCGTGTCGTCGACGTCAAAATCGCCATTTTTGAACTTCGCAAACCATTTCCGTGCTGCGGACTCGCCTATGACACCTTCTCCGTATACGTTGCAAATGTCCCGGGCTGCTTCAGCAGCTTTTTGGCCTCGATGAAAAACGAAGAAGAGAAGGTGTCGAAAACGTTGCTTTTTACCTCCTGGATATTCCATTTCTAAGCCTCAAAAGTAATAAAAAAATAAAATTACTCAAAAAGACGATTAGCACAGTTTTGTAGGGCAGAAAGAGCTCTATCGAATGAATATTATACACTTTGTCAAACAGCAAAAGATCGTTGTAAAATAAAAGAAAATATAAAAATGCTACGCGAACTTATTCGCCGACCTAATATATTATTTGTGTCAATTATTTACTCAGACACGCAATATCATCTAAGAGTGAAATTATACATGTTATCTATGTTGCGTGATGGTTGAACTACATTTTCACGTAATCTTTTTTATTCTATCCTGAATCGGTTTACTAACGTCTGCAGCTCTTGACCTATTTAAAAAATGTACGCTACGTAATGGACGTCACGATTCGTGTTCGCAAAGTAAATGCATATGAATCTTCTTTTAATTCTTAGATAGGACATATCAGAAAATTAAAAATGTTATTCAATAAAAATAGTATTAAATAATTAAGCATTTTATTAAATT